GGGTTCGTAATAAATTGAATATACCAAGTCCGATGAAAAGTGAATAAAATTTATTCTTATCACAACAAATAAAATAAAATGCTAAAATTTCCTTAGAGATCGCAATATCTCACAGTATCGCAATATTACAGTGTCGTACAACATCGCAATATCTCATACAATATGCAATATCTCACAGTAGTTATCTTTAAAACTACTAAAACGTTTAACAAAATTTAATTCAAAACAGAGAAAGCTATTCTGATTTCACCGCGAATTCGCTACAGTAAACAACAACAGTTATCCAAACAACAACTAAATTTAGATGTTTTCCTCCAGCTTTTGTAAGCATTTTAAATCACGCACGAGAATCTTCCCGTATCTTCTCGCCTTTTCCGGATAGCGAAAGAGTAACTAAGCTCGTTATTGAGCGTCTAATTAAGATTTCTTTTGAATGCGATGCCTAGTATTAATAAACACGCGTTAAAAATGAAATTGATGAAAATTACTTTAGCTAAAATTAGTATAAACGCATTATAATGTCAAACGAATTTATTGAAAATTATTTTGCAGAAATACGGGCTTCGAGCTAAAGTTAAAACTAAAATTCAACTTTCACAAATTAGTCTCTTAGACAAATAATTTTTATTTCTTGGAATATTGTGGAAAACTGATAGATATATTTAACGAATTTAGATCTTTCTTGCTTGTAAAAACTAAAATTCAAGTAAATCACAACCCTAAATAAAAGGGATAAATAGACAAATGATTAAGTTTCAAACTGTCGTTCAAAATTCTGTAAATAGTACATAAGCGTATAAGATGTTCTATGCTTCCTCTCTGCATTCCTTCGTGGCGTAACGGTAAGCACACTCGGCGCGTATTCGACAGGTCCAGGTTCGAGTCCCGGCGAGAGCGTTGCTCATTTTTTTCACGTCTCCAGCATCAAAATAACCTAATGACTCTACAAACGTTATGCAGTTTTTCTAGAATTTGCAGCTAGGTTTTGCATCATTAGATCCCTATATGCTATTGTGGTTCTTAAGTGTTGTGCTATTGTGGTTTTTAAGCTATTTCTTGATTTGTTTTAAAATTTATATTTGGAGACTAATAGTATGTGCTAAGTAGCGGAGTGAGAGTTACAGGTATAATACTGTATAACATATATAGCTATTATGATACTGTTTTGCTTATTTTGCTCAGACATTAACCTGCGGTTTTAGCTTTAACTATTAACAGGCCTCAGGTTTCATTTTGAGTGTCTTATTTTTTCAACTATGGCATTTTGCTGAACCTTTACTTTCATATTTGTGTGATTCAGCACAGTGTTTAAATTTGTGTAACACTGCAATAATTGCAATAACACACATCATTACATCCATATCTGTGGGATTCAGAATAAAGTGCTGAGTGAGCCACACAGATATGAATAATTCAAAAAAATGGAAGAAAAAATGTCAAAAATTTAATCCCATAAATTGGGCGTTTAATATTGCTATGTAAACTGAAAATAAGTAAGCAAAATGATTGCACTAGAATTGTTTAAAATTTTGTTTTCCTTTTTGGGAAAGCAAGCTTAGATGGCAATAACAAAATTAAAATTAAAATGGAAAACAAAGCAAAGGATAATAAACATTCAGGAATTTCAAATAATTGGTAAATGTAATAAGAAAACAATGGAATAATTATGATAAGTTACGATTCTTCATCAGGGAAAACCCGCAACTGTATCATAACTTACCTTTTATCTGAACCCATTCCTAAATGAGTATTATCTAACTTTAAAAAGAACAGTTTTTTGCAGAAAATTTAAGCCAATACGTAATAATTTATAAAATTTCATAACCAAAAATAAATGTGTCTCACAGCGTGTTTCCAGATGCTATTACATGGGTTCTTGGCATTGCTCTTTGGGGCAGATTCTGATGTATAATAATTCGAAACTCCTTCTATATAAATATGTAACAATAAGTTATAATTTAAATTAGCCATAACCCTTAATTCCTCATTTCAATTTGGGTACTTCCCCTCTCTATTCTAAAAATATTAATCACATTTTGTAGGTTGCATCATTTCTGGATTAATTCTATCATATCCTTTACACACTGATTAATCATATTATATCACTTTTACATACCAGTACAATAAAAGAAATGTGATTTAAATTTGCTTCGACGGAGTCTTATTGCATCTGTATGACTTCGACGGAGTCTTATTGCATCTGTATTTTTTTTCCTTTCCGGATCTACTATGTATACTTCAACATCGATCTGACTCATTCCCAACACATCACACACACACACATATATATACATATGTGTAGATAGATAGACAGATTAGAAGGTAGAACATGTCATCAAACAATTTTAATTCAAACTGTAGACGAATATATGTAGTAATAAAATAGTGCCTATACTGTGATAAAGCGATACTCACATAAGAAATTTATATCTCTTAAATTACTAATTATTGAAAATGAAATTACGCCAAACTCCATTATTTAATGTACGAAAATTAATATTTAACATATCTGACGCTATTATTTCGTAGGAGATAAGAAATTGTTGAAAACATTGTTGAAATCATCGCTAAATAAGCATTTAAAATCATATAAGGTATTTTCTCTCTCCTTTTAACATGCCTTCATGGTCTAATGGTAGCAGGTTGAGTCCTGGCGAGGGTATTGCCCATTTTACACATGTCCTTTTTCAAAACAACCTAATGACTGTACAGTGGCGAACGAACTAAAAGGTGGTAGTAATAATTCTTCATCACCAGTATTCCCAGTCGCCGTAATCCCCAGTCGTCCTTTAAAAAGGGGAGTATATGAGGTATTTTCTTCCTCTTTTCAGCATGCCTTCGTGATGTAACGGTAGCACACTCAGCGCGTATTCGAGAGATCCAAGTTCGAGTCCCAGTTAGGGCATTGCTCATTTTTCATGTCTAATGCTTCAAAATAACCAAATGACTCTAGCATCATACTTATGTCATTCAACGGTATTTATATTTTATTCGTTGCCTTGATGGAGCTTAAGCTTTTACATGAGATACGTTTTCGGTTATAAATTGCTTTAAAAAATAATGGGCCCTTCGTGTTTCAGATTCTAAGAAAAGACTAAAGATTTACCCTCCGCCTATTCTCATTAAGACGCAGAAGATAAAGGGAATGAAAAACAGAGAGGAAAGGCCTCAAAAACAGAGAGAGAAAAAACTTTTTTGCTGATGCAGTTCGTTGTCTACGAGTAAAAATGACACGAAATTTTCTGCGTTTATAGCAGTAAAATAACAAAATTTTCTACTAATATTCTTTAACGAGTTTTTTAGCCTAAGATAATTCGTAAAAAATATCGGTAAAAGTCTGTATGTGGCTTTTCAGGAAAACTGTAAAGTGTATGTAATTATCGAGAACATGAACGCAGAAAATTTTGCAATTCCTTTTTTTTTTTTTTTTTTTTTTTTGGTCCCTAAGAAATTTAGAAAATTGCTTTGTTTGATTAAATTAATCGAAATTTGTTTGATTATATATATATATATGTATAATGTTGTATGATTTTAAATCCATTTAGTGCGAAAACAAGTTATTACTACTTGCGCAATTGCTGCAAAGTTAGTTAATAATAATTTATTTCCTAAACAGTATTGATTAATTGATTATATTATCTCCTAAGTTAAATTAAAGTAGAATTATTTTAAAAGAGTGAATACATACTGGTAAGTTATATTTTGAAAGATGTTTTGAAGTAATTTGTAAGCAGGATGTTAATAATGTTTTAACGGGGAAATTTTATTCTTCATGATGATTTAAATCCAGTCCCCGTTAAAACATTAACATCCTGCTTTCAAATTACTTCAAAACATCTTTCAAAATATAACTTACCAGTATGGATTCACTCTTTTAAAACAATTCTACTTTAATTTAACTTAGGAGATAATATAATCAATTAATCAATACTGTTTAGGAAATAAATTATATATATATAATATATATATATATATTAACCAGAGTAAAATCGATTTTTCCTGTTTCACGGCTAAGACAATCAAATAGTCTATTCAGTCCTAACTAAAATGCGGAGGTCAATAAGTCACCACTACGTGAATTTAGTGTGCTATGTTTCGTACCTCTCCCAAGTCTCTCTTTAACTGATTGAGTATCAAGTGAATGACGGAGTCCAATGTGTGCTATCGCGACTTAAACGATTAGCACATTCGGCTAGCACGTCTAAAGTCTTCGGTTCGAATACACACCAGAAAAATTTGATTTTTCAAATGGCGCATCCCGTAAGCACATTATTCGTTATACAATTAAATAACGTATCTGAAATTTTTTACAGCTTGTATCAGATTTCAAACTGGTGTCATAATATTTTAATAACTCATTAAATAAAAAAATATTAATACCGTATCTTGTTTTAATTACTCTTTTTCTTTTATGCGTATTTAGTAGCTAATAACATCCAAGTAACAAATTTGAAACTGGAAAATGATTGCAGATTTGAGTTGAAATAGGCACTTGCCATCATAGAAATGAGTATCTTGTATAAGCTATAGGATCCGCCCAGACGGTATAGTAGTTAGGGGAACTTGACTGCGATACCGAAAGGCCCGGGTTCGAATCCCGGAGAAGGCATGGATGTAATTGTCTGTTCCTTCATAGGAGACAAAGATGGTCCACCTATTAAGTGCCTCCAGAGACATCCCATCTGGCCTTAGTAGTGGCCGATGCCAGCATAGGCAAGTGCCCGCCATTGAAAAAAAAAGTAAATAAATTATAGGATGTCCAGATCTTAGATTGCAACATAAAATTATAAGATGCTGAAATATGATGTTCCTTTACGATGTTTCTTTTAATAGTTAAGATTAATTCTAATACAAATCTTGTACTCAGATTATCAGAAATCACTAAAATTATCGGAAAAAATAATATTTATTTTTATTTTCCAAACTGTAATCATATACTTCTTGAAATTGCGGTCAGTCCTCATTATATTGCTTACTTACTTATTTATATACTTTTTCAGTTGCTGGAACAAGAGAAGCACGCCTTGCGCAGGAAGTTGGACGTGCTGGAAAGTGAATATGACAGCAGAGTGGCAGAACTACAAAGCGACCTCAATCAACTTCGGAAAGAGTTGGCTCATCAGCAATGCAGCCATCGGTCTCAAGAGAAAGAGAAGGGACAATTGCTGGAAGAGCTGACAGAACAAAACCACAGGCTCACAGCGGAACTCAAACAGGTACGTGTTTCACATCTGTGTAAAAATGGGGACCATAAAATTTTCTTCCATCTTCTAGTTCAAGAATCTGTATATGTACATATACAAATATTTGTTTTTGTTTAGAGGTAGTAATTATAAATGCGATCTCTGTTATCATTAGCAGCGGAGTAGTACCATGAATCATACGAATATAAGTCAGTTCAGTGAATCCTCGCATGAACCTGAATTACACATGACTAGGTGCACAGTAAATTATAATTTCAAGGTGTTCAGAATGTTATTAGGACAAAACAATGTGAAGGCGAAATAAAACCGCAACTTAGATAGTTGGCAGTTGACGAGAGGCGGAGACACCATCGTTTTACTGATAGGTTCAATGGTATTGTCTCGCGTCCCCGCATATCTAACATTAAGGATACGTCAATTAATATTGATGAATATCTGATATTATGTAAGATTTCTGATACTTTGAGTCTCTGAAAGTATGTAATAATTATGTAAGTTACATTAATTACATAATTTCAAATACTCTTTACAGAAGAATTATGTACTTTACAATAGTACACATTACAAATGCACTTTATCAAACTTTACGGAATTTCATAAACGTACATTGCGGGACAGCCAGTTATAAAAGTAACACAGACGGTTAAATTTCGAGAAACAAACTGAATGAATGTTAAATTCTGATTCTAGGCAATGTTCCTTTTTAAAATAAATAAATTAATAATATAAAATATATAACGAATCAAAAGTTAGTGCAGAGTTTTGCAAGCTTGTTGCTAACTTGGCTGATCTTGCCCACCAAATGACGTTCTTTTATCATAAACTTGCAATAAGCTTGAGTTGGAAAAACATTTCTAGTCTGCAGTTTTCTAAAGACATATAAATTTTATTTAATTCATTGTACTCATATGATACTTTGGAACGTTTTAGCTTAAAATGTTATTAACTGCGTCAAACGATATAACAATTTCGAGCACTAGCTGTGTTGTTGACATGTGTTTCAAGGCATATAGGACTAATTTTTTATTCTTATTTAATTTTAATCAGTTTCGTAATGAATAACAATTGCATACTGTGGAGTTTAATTTCATTCTCATAGAATCATTAAAGAACATTTTAATGCATTATATCTCACATATTCTAATAGCACTTTTGTCTGATCGAGTTTCTCTGACTGAAGTTTTGTCCTCCAAATAGCGAAATGTTAACTGGAAAACGTCTGTTAACCCTTTCATCTGCCAACGTATATGTTGCAGCAGACGTCCCACTGTTTGTATGCGGCTTATCCGTTCTGCACACGTTACTCGTGAATTGTCCGAAGTTCTCAGACATATACTTGAAAATGTTGGAAAGTTTTTTTTCCTTGTTAGAACTCACGATTTTCGACTGGCGTGAAATTGTTTTTTAAAACTTGGAATAAAGACTTAAAACAGTTGGAAAATGTTCCTGGTACCATTAAAGAGGAAATTCCTATTGCTGATATACTAGTACCTCCTAGTTTCTTTGAAATTATTTGCGATGTTTGAAGGTTTGAAAATTTACTCGAAAAAATTCAAAATTGTTGACAGAGAATAAGAATGATGAAAATTAAAAGATCTCATCAGGTTAAAAAGTTCTTGACGCATTGACTCGAAAAAAGCCAACACGAAAAGAGTAATGAAGATGAAGACGAAGCAAGAGAGCCGTGATGGTACCCTTTTTGATCCTAAAAAAGAAGATCATAGGACGAACCTTGCCTATAATTTGGATGAATCAACTTTCTTTCAAATTTAATGACATCATAGCTCTATGTAAAGTCCCATTTATTGTTCGAAAATTCAAGATGGCTCTTAAAAAAGGAATGTAAATTTGTTTTCCACCAAGAAGTCTGGAATTCTGTATAAATTTTTTATGCTTTGACTTACTTTGAAAAGTATTTTTTTTTTTCTTTTTTTGAATAATTAGTCCAAAGGGGCTTTGTCCCTGAAGGATTATTGTTTTCGTTTTGCGGTTTTGCGTTGAAAAGGCTATACCACTTTTCAAATCGTTGCCAGCAAATACTACCGCCCCTGTATTATATTTGAAGAAATTAAATAATGAAGAATCTGCATAAATGTATGTATGTTTCTCGCATTGTGATAAAACAACGGTACCTACAGCCATCCAATTCTGAATGACGTAATCTTACTGCGAATATGGGCATCTGAAAGCCCAAATTTGAAATTTGGAATTTGTTTTATTATCGATTTCCTATTTTGTAAAACTTTAATGAATTTTTGATTAACAAACTCAACGATTTAAAAGCGAGCAATGGCAACACTCTACGAAGAAAAAACACTTTTTTATCTCCAGCGCGGGGAACTGTGTATCGGAAATTCTTAAGACATGCTCATTTTAAAATTATTTTGCGACATTACTGTAGAACTGAATTTTGTGGTTTAAGTGCAAAGAACATGATATAATAAATAAAGGTAACACACAAAATGTTATAAAAAAACGTAATTTAAAATCTGAAACCTTTGAGATTTTCTTTTTATTTCATTTTTATTGTTATTTATGCATTAATTATAATTCTACAGGATCATTTTGTGATCATCCCTGTTTTTTGTTTATTCTCGCATACTCGTTCATTAATTAGCAAATATAATCAGAAATTAAATGCGTTTTAAGACACTGGCAGTTTAGTTTGGATTTCTTTGAGTGAAAATCCCAATTTTTTTTTTTGTGCAGTGCACCATTAATCAGCATTAAGAAACCCTTAAAAGAGGGAAAAAAAACTACTCCCAGATTAGATATTAGTTCATTAAATAGGGTGGCATTTTTAGTTCTAAGTTTCGATGTTTTCTCGATACTTTTGTATAAATTTATCATTCGATTATGCCGTTTAAAACATATATAACTATGCTTTAAATACTATAATTCATTTCAATTTCATTTTAATTATCTCTGTTAGCTTAAGCATAACGCAGCTACATAATCAAATTTTGAAAATTCGATGAAATTAATTTGAAATCAGTTGGTAATTCAAAACATTTCTTGGTTAAATGAAGAATAAGACGATATTAATTGAAAGCATATTACGAACCGAATTTTTTTAAAACCGTAATTTCAGAATTCAGTGTGAGCAGCTGAAAATGTATTGCATAAAATGTAAAATCAGTCTTTAGACATTTTTTGCCATTCGCAAACACTTTGTAACTGCCTCCAATACTCCTCTCCCGGATATACCGGCTATTTCCTATAGGTATCGTTCCAGTCCTTCGCTAAGCCTCGCTTTCGTCGTGGAAGTTACTGGGTTACTACCGCTTACCATATTGACTGTTTGAAGAAATTAATTGAAAAAACATATATAAATAACTGCAAATTTTGCAGTGTGTATGAGGTACCGTTTTCCGCTGATATAGCCTCATCATACTTTACAATTTTCTACTAGTTATGAAACTATTAATATTGAATATTGGTTACAATATCAAATCAAATTCGCAACTTTATTTCTTCATAGGGTATCATGAGGCGCCATCTGTTGGCGTTAAAAAGAATAATATCATTTCATATTTTAAAATTATTTTGTTCGAGTTTGTGAAACTAAAACTAGCGTAAACTAAATTATTATATTAAAGAATAAAGGAACCCTACTACATGGCAGTCAACTGAATTTAAAAAAATATTAATATAAGTAAATTTTATAAAAAATTTGGAATAAAATAAAATAGGTAAACCAATAATAATAATGAATTTTAAAAGCTGTGGAAATTTAAAACATGCTGTTATTTAATAAATACTTTCTTTGTTTAATGTAACTTCATTACGCAAATTTTACTTGCATATTATAGGGTAAATATTTCATTTTGCACTGTTTACGATTCGACTTAATTTAGTTTCCGTACATAATTTTAAATTACGTAATAAAATGTAATGAATATTTTATTGATTCAAAATTAAGACTTTTTAATTTGATATCTGGGTATCTTGATAGACAAGACTCTTTTTTTATTTTTCGTTGACCCTTTTCTTTTCCTCAGCCCTCTCTTTTTTATCTTCCTTTCTAATGCTGCATGATTATTTGTGTTGCATAAAAGTATATCGCAGCCACAAAAAAGGCACACTTCTAAGGGGCCATACTATCAGATGAAATTAGATACAATTATACTAGTAGTAAGTACATGAAGGGGGGACTTATGGCACTCAATTTGGTATTATGGCCATTGTTTCATTATTTGCGTCCAAGCGCTCCTAGTTTCCGGTATTGGCTTCTTAGGATGATGCATTTTTGAGTTTGGATGCAGTCAAAATATAACAAATCTGAATCTCATTTCTACTACTTCTTCACCTTTGAATCCGAAACAGTGAAAGTACCTGAATGAGAAAAAATTATGGTAATTATAATCAGTTAATCAAAATTTTTCCTTTTTATTTGAAGAAAACATTTTATTTTAAAATTTTGTTAACAAGTGAAAAGTGTTACGTCGTTATAAATTGTGAAGACTTCTGAGTTATTTTTTAATTTACAATATTAAATAGTACATTTCATTTAATATTCCGAAGAAGTACTGCTAAAAATGCTTGCTATATTTTTGAAGGGGGAACATGAGCTTTTATGAATAAGCTGTCGAATATGTAACAAAGATAGTTTAGATAGTTGATTAGAGCATATTCCAGGATTTAAATCTCATTTCTTTTCGAAAAAACTTTGGAACAAGTTTTTGGAACTTTGGAAATATACCTGGCTAGTATGTTTTTTAAAGTTTTATTTCTGTATAACAAATTTTATTGCAAAATGCATTTATAACGATTTGATGAACCATCTTTACTTTTACGATAAATTTCGCTTTTCTGTGAAGTGTTTTCACAAAATGTTTGAAATGTTCGTATCAGAATTGCTGCCTTTAATTGCAGGCACGTTAGTGAAATCATTAGCTCTTGATTGGTGGTTTAAAGTGCGATTAAAATCTATATTTACGGTCCAATCAAATGAAATGGACGTCGTACGGTTTGAGTCTTGAAGTTAATGAAAATTTTTGAGCATCTGTCTC